ATGAAGGTAAAAGATCAAATCGACACTGGTACTCCTGAGTTTCAGCTCTATCTTGCCATGCATATGAGATTAAGACAGTGTTTCCCAGGTGGTGTTGGGGCAGAGCAACCCTCCAACCCACCAACCCTCCCCTCAGGCAGTGCCCGAAAGGCATGCCCAGTCTTGGCAATTTAGATTAATAAATAAATTTTATGAAGTGGACTTCGGGGCTTAGTCACATGTATTGGAAAATACATTGTACAAGAAAACCAATTTACAATAACAAGGCAGAAACGCATTACTTTGTGGGGAATATTTAAAGAGGAAACATGGCCTTAAATTGCCTTATCGATAAGCTAAGGATAGTTTGGGAAACATCTTGGTATTTTAGATTATGTTAGGCTTTTCTATTATGGAAAATTATATGGATATAAGAAAGTGACAGAAGCATGGGAAATGGGCTATGTGAATAATTTTATCTATTCAGGCCATGTGAAGTTTCATTAAGCATTATTTTCTCTATTTATCATTGTTTATATTACATAGAGGGCATTACATAGAGCATGTCATCATGGATACAAAGGAAAGATCTGAAAATTAATGGAACTATTGTGAGGAGAAAGATGTAATATATTACTGCTAGCTCCAAGTGGATAGGGTAATCAGATTTTTCTCCCTATACTGGCAGTAATATTACGGCCATGTAAGATTTACTCAGGTATAATGCATTTGCTGGTATCCTGAAGCCTTCTGTTTTCTTTTGTAGGGAAGGTTACGAAGTGTATCAGTCACTCTTCCAGATTTATCAAGATATTTTGATACAGACTTTGCTTACTCAGGTTTGTTGTGATAATGGAGAACTGTAAGTACTGTAAGTGTGGCACTAGTTGCAATCTGAGTGGTGCTTATTGGTCCCTTGCCCCCCCCCTAGTGTAGCCTCTGATGTACTATACAGCAGTGAAAATCCAAAACTGCAGCTTTCTAAGAGCTACTAGATCTTTATTCCTCCAGGTCTTCTAGATCTTGTCATTCATTATGTTGGCATGATTCTTGTCATTCTATAGTCAAGTCTCAAATACCATATGAGGCTAAATCTTGCATTCTGTTCTTTGCTTGTTATGTACAAAGATTTACGAGAATATGTTGAAAAGGTCAGAAACAATAATTTCATAGGACATTCATATTTTTGCGAGTGACACTCAGACCGTACTTGATTTCCGGTAAATAAGAGAAATGAATTGTTGGTATTGCCTCTGATCTTAAATAAAGTTTTGTCTTTCCCCTTCCTAAATTTGTAGCATAGTATTTTTATATGTCCAAAAGCAGAACCACCTGAAATACATGCAGGGCAAAATACCGCTGAATGTAATGCAACGTTATTCATTTCTGGCTAAGTAATGATTCCCTTAAATAAGCTTTACTACCTTTTCCTTGTCTCCATTTAAATAATTGATGTAAATGATAGACCAAACAGGTGATATATACTAACCCCTTTGTGTTTTTCCCTTAATACAAGACTTTTTCAGTAGTGAAGCACCTTTGTCAAATCCAAGAATTTTTTTTCATAATTTTCACCCATCTTTCTTATATTGAAAGTTACTTTAAACAACTTTGAAGGTCACTAATTAATGATAAAATTACAAACCTTATATTCTTAGTGAAGTTATCTAATTCATATACTTATTCATGATGAATGAATATAATTTAAAGTGCAGAACTTTTCTGTAGATAATATATTTTCAAGGAGGGTAATGAAAGCAGCTTATTTAGTAACTGTTAAATAGGAACTGTGATTTAAAATTTTGTAAAGATACTATACTTGATAAGATGTCCTATATTTTGTAAATATAATGTCTTGCTTGGTATTTCTTATTGGCAAGTCCTATTTTTAAATGGTTTTGAAAACTGATTTGAAAATGTACACCCACTCCTAAGACATGCACAGGCACACAAACAAACATAGAACAAAAAATATGAGATAACAGCCACACACATAAACCCTCATAAGTCCACACAAGTATATAGAGACATGCACACACATACAGTTTAGTCTTCTCTTTATCTTGGAGTTATACAAATATTTTGCATTTTATTAATACTGTTCTGCATATTATTACTACTTGATGCATGGTATATATTACTAACTTTGTAATAAGGAAATCCTAGAAATAGTGAAATTTTATGGTTTTTTTCAGGCTTTTACTATGGGGTTACAAACTTACATGGGCAATTAATATGCTCTGAGTTATCAAATCACTGGGCCAGTGTGGTAAAACTATGTGAATAGTTTCCATTTATTTATTTATCATTTTTTAATTTCTTTTTTATTACCTCACACAGAATTTCATACATATTTTACAGTCACTCAGTGAAATATATTAATGCCACATACTTTTATTTATGTTTATGGAAGGAGAAGGAAGAAACCCATGTTACACATTTCAGGACATACTCCAGCTGTGAAAACCTTTTGTATAATTCTCTCAGAAAACACCAAGGTTGCAGGTAACAACTTCATGATTATTTTATGTTTTCATGTTAAACATATTCATGAGCATAGTTTTTAATAAATATTTTTCTTTTCAGAATGATGTAAGCCCCTTAGTGTCTTCTTGTCGGCAGCGCAACAGTATTGAAGTTCACATTGACACTCAAGGAGAAAACATTGCTGATGGCACTATGGAAGGTGGCTACTTGCTTGTTCCTACTTCAGTCAACCATGTGTCATCTGTTTGACAATGGCCTTCCTCTAGCCAGGGGGAAGAGTCGGCAGATGACTGACAGTGACTTTCACTAGAGCCTGGGCCATTCAGCCAAAGGAGAGGATATGACTGTTGGCACTCCTAGCTAGACTCACACAAAAATGGGTATATACTGTTTTGAGATTACTCAGTACTATAATGATAATCTTCATGGTTGTGAAGCCCAATAAGGAACTGGATGAAATAGTCATCATGAAAGTTATGAAACAGTGAAGGCTGCAATATTTAAGAATATTAGTTTTGTGAAGCAAAATGATGTGTAGTGTGGCAGTGTGACAAATGTTATATTAAACTGAGGGTAAAGATCTGGTATTTTTACCTGGATTCATATTCTCAGTCACACCATTTCATACAGAAACGGTTAAATGTAGAAAATTTTAGATAATTTTTGTTTAACATGAAAATGTGAAGTGACTGATGTGATGCTATTATGATTCTGCATTTGTGCTAGGTGTATACACATTTAAAATAATAATAAAAAAATATGGTGAGACAGTAGAAAAGATAATTAGCAGTCTTCAGTATGGACTGCATGTAAAGTAGATTTATAAGAAATGTAAGGTAGTGTTGTTTTTATTTGTCTCCAGTGATTGCAACCAGTCATATATTTTCCTTTTTGAATGTAGACAGGATCTACATACAAAGACTTCTGACCTAGCGATTATTTATAAGTAATGTATTGTTTCCAGGTACATGAATTCATGCCATTTTTATCTTGATTCAAATACACCCTGGTTGCTACATGATTGCCATGTTTTTTGATGTGGTAAAGTAATAACTATAATTAAAGATTGAGGGATGTTGTAGATATAGCAGTGTGTGATTATTTTATTTATTTAAACAAAACATATTTAAATGTTTATTGATAAAGTTGTTTATTGCATAGTTAGTACATAAATATGCCCTTGTGCCTCAGTACTCGAGTGAGTCTCCTGACGAGTGTAGACTACATTACTCAATCTTTTTATCTTTTGATAAACAGTTTTAAGTATTTATTTCAATTTGCTGTAAATAGTTAGTTTTGAAATAACACACAGGAAAATATTTTATAGCACTTTACTCTTTTTATGGTCTTGAATTGTGTTTGTAAAAAATTATATCAATCTTTTTTACTAACTATTTAAAGATGAACATAGTATTTTTTCTTGACCTTTGACTAAATTTAAAGATCAGATATATTCTGAACTTTGGCTAAACAAAATATGGTTGAACAGTGATAAGGTATATCTTTCCAATATGAAAATATAATATTTAAAGGCATAAGTGATGGTATCAGATTTTTTTTATTATTAGAAAAACTTAAATATAAAATTTCAGTCTCTATATAATTTAAGAATTAGTGAAGAAACAGTAACAGGAAGAACTGTGAAACATATGATACACAATCTTTACATCACGTCTGTTTGATTCTCTCAGTAACCCTCCAGTCTTTATATAAAACCAAGAAGTTGTGGTAAACATAATAAGAATTATTCCAGAGTACAATATATAATGCAGGGAAATTTCATAAAGAAAAAGAGAATGAAAGAGTGAGAGAGATTGCAAGTGGAAATGAAAGTATATAAAAAATCAGGATTACAGCAACTGATGGACAAGAAAGAAAGGACAGAAAGAAAAATAACTGCCTGAATATAATAGAATGATGAATGAATATATGTAAGGAAAGTGAAAGAGAGGAAATGAATGATGAAGATGAATGAACAAAAGGACAAAAGAATGATTGTTAGAGAAAAAAAAAAAAAAAAAAAAATGTTTCTAGGATTTGTATGTATGTGTAATCACATCCCAGTGATAGCAATTACCCACACTTGCATGTATTTCTCTGTATCAAAGTAATTAAGTACTTAAGTGTATACCATGGTGAAGTGTTATTAATTTTAACCTCTCAACTGAAATAAAAATGACATGTTACCCACAAAAGACACATGTATAATCATTAATTATTAGTAAGATTATATGGTGTAAAATTTAACTGAAAATTACTTCCTACTGATTAGGATTGAAGCTCAGAATATGTTTTTCTAGACAGTTGATGGTGATGTCATTGTACCCAAATGGTTAGAGTTTCTTTCTCATAATTATCTTTAAAAAAAAATATTGAAAAAATGGCAATAAAAACATCTAATTCTACAGACTTACTACTCTTTCCCTCATAACATGACTGATATGATTAACTAAACTGATGACTGAGTAACCTATAGCTAAAAGGTAATAAGAGTAAAATAAAGATAAGTAGTGAAATCTATTAAATATCATAGTTTCTTAACCCCTATAAACATGACAGATGTCATGTTTCTTTTCTCCATTTTGTTACACATGAACTCCTCTAAGTATATGATATAGATGTATTTAGAACTAATGAGGACAACTGTGACTTATTTTTGATTAGCAATGGATTTCTGTCAATCTGCTTATGCTTATATGCCTAAAAAAATCTATATAAAAAGATAGTAACAGTAGATCTTTGATTATTTACAAACATAAAGGCATTTATACAACCAAGTTGCACAATATTCATAATCTTCTCTCTCTCTCCCTCTTCTCTCTCTCTCTCTCTCTCTCTCTCCGTCTCTCTCTCTCTCTCTCTCTTCTCTCTCTCTCTTCTCTCTCTCTCTCTCTCTCTCTCTCTCTCTCTCTCTCTCTCTCTCTCATTCTCTCTCTCTCTCTCTCTTCTCTCGTTTCCTCTCTCTCCTCTTTCTCTCTCTCTCTCTTTCCTCTCTCTCTCTCTCTCTCTTCTTCTCTCTCTCTCTC